GGTGCTGGGTCCAGCCGTGCGCGCCTGGGACTTCACCAGCGGCCCCGTGGTGTTTGCGGTGGCAGCAGGGCGGGATCGGGAGCGGGGAGGTTTCTTCCTTTTAATCCAGCTTTAACAAGAGGTTCTGTTTTCCAAAGGGTATGTGACTACTATACTGGAAGATGCAAAAATTTATTCCAGCCATGCAAAGAAATCCAGCGTCGATGCAGATGACGTGAGGTTGGCGATCCAGTGTCGAACAGACCAGTCGTTTACATCCCCGCCGCCGAGAGATGTGAGGAAAATTCTGCGAGTAGTAACAGAATGTGGTAAAACACTGCGGGTGGGAGCATAACCATGTCTCTCCAGTTCTTGTTAGATATCGCAAGGCAGAAAAACCAGATGCCATTGCCGCTGATAAAGCCTTATTCTGGACCCAGGCTGCCACCCGACAGATACTGCTTGACGGCTCCCAACTACAGGCTGAAGTCCTTACAGAAGAAGGTAAGGGGAGGGTTCACCCCATTGTTTGCCAGGAAGGTTGTTGGAATTATCCTCTGAAGGGTGCACGTGGGCAAATACCAACCTGTGCGCGTCAAAAGAGTGTTTGAAACCAGGACGTTATCTCTAAGAATTTGCAAGTATTCCCACAGCTAGTTAGTTTCAGATGCAAAGTGTGTCATAAAACACATCTGTGAATTTTTTAGTGTTAAAGCAAAATTGTCCAGTTGAGTATCAGATTGTGAGAGGCAGAAGCAAGCCTTGTGTATAGATATTAAAGGGTTTTTTTGTTCTTGTATCTCAGTAGTTTCTGCTTTAGAGGGAAAATATTTACTTTGCTTTCTGGAAAATGCTGAATGTCCTGGTGTGTGGGATTTCGTATTTCTCAGTCTGTGTTTTTTCATACTTATTTTCCCCATTTTCAAGAAAGACTTAACCGTTGAACTTGAGGTTGCAGGTGCTGACGTGGGACACGCCTTGGTGCTGGGTGTAGAGTGGAATCATAATTGTCAATTGAAACGTTCTGGTTACTCTTCCTGGTGGAAACTAACCTGGTTGACCCGAGTGCCATTTGCCAGATCAGCTACCCGCCGATCTTCAGCCTGACCTCACGCCCTAGAGCTCTCCAGCTCGCGCCAGTGACATTCACACCATGAAGAGTTTGAGAACTTCTGTGTTGGCACAAAAATCGTGTGTCGTTGCTGTGAAAGAGGCTCTCTGGGGTCTTGTAGGAAGAACCGTTTCTTTTTTTCGTGTTAAGAACTGTTAATTCCTGAGGGGATGCTATAGCAAATGTTCTCTCTCGACAGGTCTCTTCCTCTGCAGGCAGGATAACAGTCCCTCGCCTGAGTGTCGGTGCGGTGAGCAGCAGGCCCAGCACCCCTACTCTAGGTAGGAAACGGCTCTGTTGGGATTTCCCACATTGCTGTTATGAAAGAAAAAAAATGACGAGGCATAATTTAAAGCACGCTTCAAGCAGTGGAGGAATGTTGGGCGCCACCTGAACTTGATAGTGTGGGACAGCATCAGAAAAATGAAATTAATTTCAAAAAAGTTATTGTAACCTTTGGTGCACGTGTTCATCCCTGGCATTCTGTGGTTTTGTTCCTGCACTTGTGATCATTTCTGTGTGCCAAGAGACTAGTCAAGAAACGCATGTAAGTTTGAGGGGTTTTCCCCCGTGTAAGCACTACACCAACCGACGAACACCACTAAATAAAACCCGTTTTTAAAAGGTTCACAAAAATGCTGGCTGAGCACGTGCATGTGTGTGTGTGTGTGTGGCCAAGAACTGTGTAGATCTGGAGTGAGTGCGTGGTTCTGCTTGAGCACTTGCCTCCTATATCCCCAGCACCAGTGTGGTCCTGTGTGCTCCTGCTGCTTTGAATGTAACAAGTTCAGCTTCAAAAGCAAATTTACGAGTGCAAATACAGAATTTTTTTTTTTCAAATTTATCTTTTGACTGAGTTATTTTGAACATCAGGTACCCCCTCAGCACAAACCGTGTCCGTCTCGACGAAAGTTGGCACTCCAGTGTCGCTGACCGGTCAGAGGTTCACCGTACAGATCCCGTCCTCGCAGGCAGCCGTCAAGTCAGGTGAAACACAAGCTGTAAAAAAACCCAGCTTCTTCCATCAAACCCACTTTTCGGTGCTCTTTGTAGCAGAACAGAAATGAGGTTGTAGTAATAACGTGGGAAATGACTTCACCTCTTCTGGGTTTTGGTACTGCTGATCCTTTGTGTCTCCTTCCTAAGGGGGGTGCTCCTCTCTTGCGTCGTTCCGTAGCTTCGAGTTTTCACTCGGAGCACAGGGGGGTCAGCCGGAACGTGCAGCGTTTCGGGCGGGTCCCTTACGCCCTGGCTGCCACCTCTCTGCTCTCTCATTCTTCTGCGCTCACCCTGCTGGCGTGTTCCTGTCTTCTCTGCTTCGCTCTGCGGATCATTCTGGGGTTTTCAGCCCAGAGTGTTCCAATAGCATGCAGCTCCATTGGGTGGGAAGTGTGGTTTCAGTGTGGGGAAAATCAGCTGTCATTTTTACAAGCTTTTCATTCAACGACACCTTTTTTTTTTATTTTCACAGCCACATCAACTACTCCGACAGTTCAGAATGTTCTAATTAATCCTTCGTTAATTGGACCAAAGAACATTCTTATTACGACAAATATGGTGTCATCACAGAATACATCTAATGAATCGAATCCCTTGAAAAGGAAGCTTGAAGATGATGAGGACTATGACAATTTGTGAAGAGACTGGCCCATCCCCTTCTGTTCTTCAGAGATTCATACTGAGTCTGATAAGGTTTTGCCAATCATTCTTTGTAAACGGCATGTAAATACTCTGTTCCTGTGCAGCTGGGTGGGGGGTGAGAGGGAGACCGTTGCCTGTGGAAAGACAAGAAAGCGACTGAGCTTCTCTGTGCCCCATAAAGTCACCAGTTAGAGGAGTCCCCGCCATGATTTGCTCTTTATTTATTTCTGAAGAGCTGCGCCTCTGCCTGGCGTCACTTCGTTAAACTTGTGCCGATCTGTGTGCCGAAGGCCATGTCACTGTTGTCGTGGCACGCGGCAGGATCTGGTGAAGGTCCAATCGCCTGAGCTCGGCCACCAGGGTCCGTCTTGATGCCTTGGGTACCTGGAGGTGCTGTTGTTGTGTAGCAGGATCCTACGTCTTCTCTGCTAAAATGCTGAATGAATTTAGTGTGTTTTTATATATTAAACAATAAACAAAGCAGCCTGTGTTTATAACTGTCTCTTGGTAAATGCTTTAGCTCACACTGCCTTTCCAAACACCTCTCCTCATGCTGAGCTTGACGTGACTTAGGCTGCAGGTTCTGAGGCTGCTGTGCCTGTGCTGCTCTGCAGAGCCGTGGCGTTCTTTCCAGCTGTTTTTCTCTGAAGAAATGCTGAATAAAACTCATTTTTCCCTGGGGGAAAAGGAAGAGCTCACGGGCACCTTCCCACGGTGAAGGTTGAGCTCAAGATGGAAGAAAAAACCCTTCTGGCAGCACGTGGGAGAGGCAAAGCCGGGGGTGGGTGCTGCAGAGGCACAGCCTGGGTGGGGGCTGGGCAGGGCCCGGTGTCCCTGTGTGCTGTGGTGTACTTGTGTGCTGTGGTGAGGGCTGGGGGTCCTGTCAGTGGCAGAGCTGGTGCCTGGCCCTCCCCGCCCTGGTGGGGCTCAGCCCTGATGCCTGGATGTGTGCGGGTGCAGACGGGGCCGGCCTGGCTTGGTGGGGTTTGCACACACACACACGTGTGTACGTACACACACATGCACAAACGTGTGTGTGTGTATCTGGCAGGTGGGGTTTTTCATGTACATCTGTGTGTGTACACACGCATGTATAGAATTGTGTTGGACATGCTCAAACTCTCCCAGACAGCTCTTCTCTTTTTTACACACATATTTTAGAGAGAGAGAGAGAGAGAGTATATACAGAGTATAGTGTGTGCATAGAAAGAGTATATAGTAGTTACACCGAGCCACCCTTTACATATGACAGGTATGTGTACATACAGATACTATACACATTGATGCAGACACTCTTTATAGAGAGAGGTATTTATGGCTCAGACACGCTTTTTATGTAGCTGTGTCATGTCTTCAGCGTTACATTTGCCAACATGTATAACACAATGTGTAAGGTTTTGTATTAGACACAGGCACACGCCCACAGACACTGTTCCTAGAGATACCATTCAACCATATGTGTATAAACAAAACTATATGAGATCTTCTCACACCCCCACTTTTTGAAATACTTAATATACAGTTGTGTTTAGACATACACACATGTAGATTCAGGGCCCCCAGCCCATTTTACACACACACTTGTACTCTCTTGCTATGAATGCACACACAGCCTCAGGCACTCTTTCATATATACATATAAAAGTATATATAGAAATAATAATAATACATAATATATAACCAAACATAATACGTAGCTTATTTTATATATGCCATGCTATTTATTTAATATCATGTAGGCTATTATTCCTATTTATATTCAATATTATATAATGTATAATTATGTTATGATATATTCTTGTGTATTATATATAACTATAGAATCTGGTACATCTATATAAATACATACAAAACAAACATCCTTGTACAATCACCTCTTCCTTTACGTGTATGTGTATCCTGCATGGTCTCAGACACTTTTTTTTTTCCATAGCTACTATACAATATAGAAAGTTTGCCGATAATAGCTTCTATGTAATGCAGCTCGTGTGTGTGTGTGTATGTGTGTGTGTGTGTGCGTATGCACACCCACTTGCTCCAACAGACTCCTGGTCTTGTAGATGTTGCACTAGCTATGGCTACAAATGCCATCGTGTCTGTTTAACTAGTGATGACCCCCCCCCACAGACTTGCCCTTGCTCTCACCAAGGCATCTGTTCTTTTGTACACGTCTGTGCCCTCCACACACACACACATATATCAGAGAAACTTTTTTATGTATACAAGACACAGCACATAGTAAATAATCTTACTATATAGCCTGTAACATGCAATACTGTATGGTATATGATCTAGCACGTATAGTGTATCCAAAACACATGGAAACTGCTGCTTTTATAGCCCACTGTATTTTTATACTCTATGTGCACACAGGCTCAGACAGCCTTTCATGGGGGTGTGTGTGTGGGTGTGTGTATATACATACACATATATAAAATGCATATTAAAATACATTCTATAGGCAATGACCAACCTGGTAGCCTTTTATGAAGACATAACCAGGTGGATATACACACACTATAACCAAAAACATATAACGTAATAGAGAACATATAACCCTATCTTATGTAATGCTCATCTATCATATAACTTACGTGTAAAACACATGTTTTTATATGCATATTTATGTGTGTGTGTATATATTTTTAAAGAAAACTGGTTGGACTTGATGATCGTAAGTGTTTTCCAACCTAAATGAGTCTATACTTACACATGCTCTATATACACAGTATCAGACCATTATATACATGGAATTCTAGTGATGAAACTGGCTTGGATGAGCACACGCCCTGCTGGGTAAAACACTGGCTGGATGGCTGGGCCCAGAGAGTGGTGAACAGTGGAGTTAAATCCAGCTGGCGGCTGGTCACAAGTGGTGTTCCGCAGGGGTCAGTACCAGGGCCACTTCTGTTTAACATATTTATCAATGATCTCGACAAAGGGATAGAATGCACCCTTAGTAAGCTTGCAGATGACGCCGAGTTAGGTGGGAGTGTTGATCTGCTCGAGGGTAGGAAGGCTCTACAGAGGGACCTGGACAGGCTGGATCGATGGGCTGAGGCCAATGCCATGAGCTTCAACAAGGCCAAGTGACGGGTCCTGCACTTGGGTCACGCAGTGCTACAGGCTTGGGGGTGAGTGGCTGAAAAGCTGCCTGGTGGAAAAGGCCCTGGGGGTGCTGGTTGACAGCCGGCTGAACATGAGCCAGCAGTGTGCCCAGGTGGCCAAGAAGGCCAACAGCATCCTGGCCTGTATCAGCAATAGTGTGGCCAACAGGAGTAGGGAGGTGATCGTGCCCCTGTACTCGGCACTGGTGAGGCCGCACCTCAAATGCTGTGCGCGGTTTTGGGCAAGGTAAAACACTAATTTACATGACAGGTGCACCTACTATTAGCAACTGAGCTAGTACTTCCCACATGCTTTGGTTGTGGCTGCCTTGTATCATCCACGTGAACAGCACAGCACAGAGAAAAAGCAGTGCTAATGTCTTCTGCTTTCCTCACATATTCAGATTGTAGAGTCTTCTATAGCACATGAGAGATAATTCAAAGGACGGAAGAGGTTTTCTACAGAAAAAGCTGGATCCATGCACCAGGGTAGGTTAGGCTTGACATTAGGAAAAAATTTTTTCATTGAAAGGGTTGTCAGACATTGGAATAGGCTGCCCAGGCAGGTGGTTGAGTCACCATCCCTTGATGTGTCTAAAGGTTGTTTAGATGTGGTGCTTGGAGATATGGTTTAGGGGTGTACTTGATAGAGTAGGGTTGATGGTTGAACTCGATGATCTCAAATGTCTTTTTCAACCTGAATGATTCTATGCGTCTATGATATCTAAACCTTGTAACTTATATTACATATAACATACTCTATAATATATTGTCTATTGTATATATAAAACACAGACACATATCCAGCTCAAGATTGGAGCATCCCAGCAGGTAGGAAATCAAGAAAGGGAGCCAGGAGACCCCCATGGCTAAACAGGAAACTAATGGGCAAACTCAAGTGGAAGAAGAGAGTCTATAGATCTTAGAAGGAGGGGATAGCCACATGGGAGGAATATAAGACAGTTGTCAGAGGATGTAGGGAGGCAACTAGGAAAGCTAAGGCCTTGCAAGGGAGGTCAAAGACAACAGAAAGGGCTACTTCAAATGTGTTGCAGACAAAACTCACACTAGAGGCAGTGTAGGCCTGCTGTTGAATGAGGCGGGTGCCCTGGTGACAGAGGATACAATGAAGGCAGAGTTACTGAATGCCTTCATTGCCTCTCTCTATACTGCTGGAGACTGTCCTCTGGCATCCCAGACCCCTGAGGCCCCAGAGAAAGTCAGGATAAAGGAGGAGTTTGCCTTGGTTGATGAGGACTGGGTTAGGGATCAATTAACAAGCTGGACATACATAAATCCATGGGCCCTGATGGGATGCACTCGCGGGTGCTGAGGAAGCTGGCAGAAGTTGTTGCTAGACCACTCTCCATCATGTTTGGTAAGTCATGGGAAACAGGAGAGGTGCCTGAGGACTGGAGGAAAGCAAATGTCACTCCAGTCTTCAAAAAGGGCAAGGAGGAGGACCTGAGTAACTACAGACCAGTTAGCCTCACCTCCATCCCTGGAAAAAGGATGAGCATGGCACAGCTTGACAGCTCATACATGAGGTAGACAGTTTGAACTACACAAGCATCTACCAAGGGTAAGTCATGTTTGACCAACCTGATAGCCTTTTATGAAGACATAACCAGGTGGACAGACGATGGTAGTGCAGTGGATGTGGTTTATCTCGGTTTCAGTCAAGCATTCAACATCATCTCCCACAGCATCCTCGCAGCTAA